ACTATGATTTCAAACCTCAGTGGCATATATATATAAACACAAAACCCACCGCCTTCGAGACATACACACAAGCATATTTAAATAAACACTAGAACTCACAAAAATGAATAATAAAAACAAAAATCTAAAGATAGGTCATAACATTCCCGCATATTTAGAGTGATAATATTTATGGTTTGAAAAGATACTTACATCAAAGCCAGTATTGGGATCCCAACCAACATGCCCAATGTGCCTAAAGTAGTAGGGAAAAACAAAACAAAGCACAACCAAATGCGTAAAGGGCATTAGAAACAACAGATATGAAATCCAATCCATCCTTTGAATTTTTGGCCTGAACTTGTAAGTTCTCATAGATATAACCATGTTCTGAGAAAAAACCAAGATTCTAGACCTAGCTCTGCTATTGAGTCTTAATATTTTTGCACAATCTCTCTGAGCATCCATTTCCTTATCTGTCATCCCTAGCATAAGAATACATGCGTTACATACACGAGAGGATCGAAGTTTTATAATGACCAAATGAAATAAGCAAAAGATAATGCTTGAAAAATATAAATACCAAAGGTTTGCTGTCTCTAGGCAATTTCCAAATACTATTTATAGAAAAAAGCAGGAAATGATTTTTATGTGTAACAATCAGTTGAAGAAACAACTTTAATTTTTCTTTCCTGATGAGTGGAAAATTCAATAAACGAAGATACACAGAATGTTCATTGAGCAACTGCTTAAAAAAAAATCACAACAAAACCTAAAGCTCAAAAAAGTGTGCAAGTTATGAATGGACAGGTCCTCCCAAAATAAATCAAAAGTCAGGACAAGAACAACAGGACTGTCTTACTGGAAATTGCTTGGTGTTCCAATATCTGCCTTAGTTAACCTTTTCTTTTTAGTTTTTCCTTTCTTCTTTTCTTTGGTATGGGAGATGTTGTTGACTTGTGGGCCATAAAATCTATTTGTTGTGATTTCTGGATTTTTTATGTCAACTGTTGCCATGGGTAGATTAGGACCTGAAAATAAAGCCAAAATAATATGAAATTGGTATCATTTAATTATTAAAAAAAAAAAAAACCAACCAAACCCATTGCTGTCGAGTCAATTCTGACTCATCACTACCCTACAGGTCAGAGGAGAATTGCCCCATAGGGTTTCCAAGGAGCAGCTGGTGGATTCAAACTGCTGACCTTTTTTG